AGCGGCAAAGAGTCTGTCAGTTGGAGGTTATGACTGATAGTTTTAACACCAAGGAACTTCAAAAACGACTGGGAGTTTTGATCGATCTTGAGGAAGAATTTAGACTGTCTCAGTATGTTGAGTTCCATGTTCTCGATATTCAAATCGTGACACTGATGCTTTGGAATAAGTGCGGAGCTGGCTAAACTTCGACGCCAGCGGCGAAATACTATGTCTGAGGAGGATCTTGATACCATGAGATCTCTTCCCTCAACCCTGGTGGCACTAGAAGAGTCTATTGCAGAGATAGTGACAGAAATAGGGGGTGATGCATTTTGAGATATGCCTGAAGTAAAAGGTAGTGTATTTAACAATTTTATTTTGTACATTTTGTTATGGTAGCCTAACCGTGCTACCATTCCTGTCAGATGCACGTGCTAAGATCCTGTTGCGGGTTCGATTATCAAAAGAAAGGATGTACGAAGCTAAAGTGGGCAAGTTGGAGTGGCAAAAAAAGTGGGACAAGCCCGGAATTGGTAATTATGAAAAATCTTCAATTGATTTATTTGTTGATTAATTGAATTGATCATGTTTGAATACAGGTACTTCAGAGCAGCCACGATACAAAAAAATTAAAAATAAGTACAAAAGGAGAAGGCGGAAGAAGTGAGAGGGCTATGCTTTTTCCCACTGGGTTTTTTAACGCAGCCCGTGGAAAGAATGCAGAGCTTGCAAGAGGAAGCTTGGGCATTAAAGGGGGGATAATGTTATGAACTGGTTCTATTTCACTTGAGTGACATATTCACATTACATGTCACAAGCTCGAGAACCATCTTATAGTTGTAGATACATTGCCTGTACAGATTTTCCCTCATCCGACAATCCACATAGGAAGACTGGTAATAGATACAAATCCTCACCAGAACTCCCTTGACCCTAGTCGCCGAAAACCCCCAAGTCTGTCCATAACATAGACATAAATGACTCGTTCTGGAACATGGGCAACCTGTCACACCCTGAAGAGCCGTGGGCGTCTGACTTGAAAACACAGACCGGAATCCAAGCTTTCCGTACTGCAAGGAGTGGCGAGGAAGAGGTTGAAAGAATTGCCTATGAGGTTCAAAACATGATACGGTCAGCTCTCTTAATGGAACAAAAGTACTCGGCCCTGTTGACACTGAGTGAGATTCGTAAGTTATATGCGAATGAATACCATCTGCATCTGCTTACATCATTTTGTCTATAGCTTGGATCGATGGATGTCCAAACGGACTTCGACCAGTGGAGTTAGTCCTGCGTAGTGGGCTGGTGTCAAAGTCGTCGTGGGAAATGAGTCAAAAGGTTCTAAAGTCGTTGCATGGTCAGCTGGTGTTGAAGTCGTGCCGTACGTGGATGATTTGGGACCGTATCCTTCCATCACTTGTTCAAAGAACTGCCAAGTATTCAAGTGAGAGTCTTGAATCGATCACGCTATTGGTCTCAAAGTGGAATGCTTTGATCAGTCGTTCTGCGAAGACATGGGAGAAGCTAGTGAATTGCCCTACCCTACCTGCGCAACGACTGGATGACCTGGAATTAATTGAGCAGGACTTGATGTAGGGGAAGATGGGATGATTTGTAGTTATAATTGTATATGTTCTGAATTGTGAATTTGTGTTGTGTTTGATTTGAGCTGGTCTTGATGTGAAAAAACGAAATTGAAAGCCAGTTACATGAGCTTCTTGATGGGAGAAATCAAGTGTTGAACGAGAGAAACAAGCGGATTGATGACCACATGATGGATTTGATGAGATTTGACGTGTGTTGTTCAGTTGATGAGATTAATGATTGATTTCCATATGGCGAGGTTATAAGAGTCAAAGTTATGTCCAGACTAGTCTGGACATAAGTCAAATGGAGCGCGTACTCGGATGCAGACCGGTCTGGGTGGAGTGCGTAGATCCAGACTGGTCTGCACAGTTTGAGTTTATCTGCAGGCACACGGAGTACACAGACCAGTCTGTAAGCAGAGGCAGACAAGTCTGTAGGCGGAGGCAGACGAGTCTGGGTGAGACTTTGAGATTCACAAGTCAGACGGGGCCGAAATGGGAGGTCTGGGAGGTCTGGGAGGTCTGGCGATTCTGCTACGGTAGCATACCGTTTGCTTTTTGTTTTTTTTCTTCGGTATTCCACCGAGGGGTCTGTACGCTACAGGTGCAAAACTCAAAGTATCAAACTCTGATTAAAGCTCCTTTGCTCATGAAATGACATGTGCAGTGGGGACAAAATCTCCTTGGAAGTTGGGACCAAAACCTTGCAGGGGTTGGGAGTCGACACAAGAGTTCACCATCAATCACACATTATCACTTGATTAGCTCTGCTCTTAATCCACTTTTATTTGAACTTATTTTGGACATGTGAAACTCAGGGCCAGGGCAAAACTTTCTTTTTATTGAAGCTTACCACCAAAGGCACGACATGTTAAAGCACTTCTATAGAGGCTAGGAGGGTAAGTTCTCGACTAGGTGCACATGTAACAAGACATACACGACAAGGTCGGGTGGGTCAAGAGATACAGAGAGAGGAATGAAATTTTACCTCTCTCTACCAATCTCGTTCCTTGCACCACAGTCGTAGAGATAGAGCATCAAGCTCTTCAAGTTGTTTAAGCATAAAAATTATTATCATTTCAATTTTTAGCGTTCCTTTATAATCACTTATAATATCAACAGCAAAGAATTCTACGAAACAAACCCAGAAAATCCTACCCCGCAACCTTCAAACCTTATCCAAAAATCTTCAAACTCTGATTCTTATAGGAGACCAAGCATAGACCTTCTCTCTCACCGGAAAACACTTGACCACCACAGCACACCACGTCCCACAATTATCAAAATTAACATTGCCAGACCAAAACTATGGACAGCGAACAATTTCAAGATCAGATCGATGAAACTTTAAGGAAAGATCAAGAGCAAGAGAAAGGGAAAGGGGTAGACAAAGAGGAGAACGTAAGGAACGAAGGAGAAGGACAAGAAGCGGGAGAAACAGGAGCAGATCAAAATGGAGACGACTTAGCACCTGGAACGAGCGGACAGGAAGCAACACCCCCGACTACTAGACAATCTAAACGGAAGAAAGCCGCTCCAAAGCCCTTCCCACCCCCAACAACAACTAAACCAAAGCCAGTCGGTCCGATACGCATTAAGAAACCAAGAACGACCTCGAATAACCAAGCAGAAGAAGCCCCACCGGAAGAAGCTACCGAAACTCAAGTGAACCCCAAGAAAGCTCCGATTAAACGTCAAGTAGAGAAGAACCCACCAGCTAGACACCCTGCCAAAATCATAATCAATGACAATCAAGAAGAAGAATCGTCAGATGACGAAGAAGAAGACAAGGGTGGAGTTGCAGGAGTCAATGTATGGAATGACACAAACAGAAATGACAATCGCCCTCAAGCACGAACTGTAGGAGGAATAGTCCTAGGAGACATTGAAGAAGGTTAGTTAACAAACTCACAGTTTCAAATAGGAAACAATCCCCCCCCTTCATCCTTTCCCACCTATAACAGTCCTATCCCAAGCGATCTATCGCAAACAATATCCAACCCCCCCCCAAAAAGAGATAATCCTTCCCTAGGGAAATGCCTCTAAAAGAGATGAATATATCCAAAAAAAAAAAAAAAAAGGAAACAGGAAGACCACTAGAGTCAACTCAATACGGAGAACCTGCCAAATCCGAATACAAATCCAAAAAAAAAAAAAAAGAAAAAGAGAAAATCGGTTACTAACTGAAAGCCTTCGTGCAAATGATTCTCACAACAGTAGGAAACAACCAAGTGGTACCAACTCCCTCTGCGACCGATAGCGTAACCTTACGTCTAGAGGAAGCGATCAAGAAAGCCTTTGAAAACAAAGATCGACAAACATATGATCGTCTAAATGCGGAGAAACAAGCCTGGTTGACCTTCTTAGAAAAAGGGAACGACAAAACAACTCCTGACACGTCAGAGAAAACCTCCAAATCATCGACAGAGAGGAAAACGATGAAAGTTCAGAGAGGTGAAATGATCAACGATCACTTAAACGCACTCTCACCTTATTGGGATACCGCGTTGAAGGAATTTAATCGTTATATCCCATTGTCAATCTTCGATCCCGCGTGGCTTCGTCAAGACATCGCCTTTGTCTCAAATAAATTGTCCCGTACGAAGACAAAAGACGCCGATTCAACGTCTTACAACGGCTCCCCGATTCCCAACGAATGGAGAACCACGGTCGCACAATGGCACCGCCAAAAGGATCTATTCCTACAATACCTCGCTCGTTATAAACAAACGGAAGTCCTCCCCGTCATGAAAGCCCATTTCGAGAATGTTCTAGAAATTCAAAAAGAAAATGACGGCAGTTGGGTGTTAGCATACCGTTACGATCTCATGATGCGACAATCCTACCTAGTTTTTAAAGTAGGAGAAGACGGAACTTCTATGGCAGATATCGGTATCCGCAACCCAAGGATCCAGAGGCTAGCCGAGAGAGACACCCTTCGTTACAACGATGACATGTTTCTCGATAACCCGTACGCCCTAAACGGAACCAAGCGCTTCATTGACCCACTCGACGGTTCTAATTGGGAAGGCAGAACAACCAGATGGGATGATCCTAGCCGAACGGATACTAGAGACGAGAAGTTGGAACCAACAAAGTCAGCGCAATCAATGTGATCAACTCTCTGGTCACAGAATAGACACGAAGCGCATGAGCACCCCGCTTACCAATCAACCCCACAAGCCTACCACCAATACGCCCAACCAGTGGTGAACCAACAACAACCATATTTCCAACCTCCACAAGCTGATCAGTCGGCTATCAGAATAAACCCAAACTTTAAAGGGAAGAAAGAAAATTTCAACCCCTACTACAAGAAAGATGGGAACAGAGGAGGAAGAGGTGGCGCCAGAAGAGGTGGATCAGGTAACGGAGGGAACTGGAACAGACCGCAAGGTGAAGGAGGAAGTGGAAGCCAGGGTGGCTCAGGTTTGCAAACGAACAGACCAAATGCATCAGGTGATGCAAGCCAAAAGTCGTGAGTATTATAGAACCCAACAGGCCCACCTAAAATGTTTCGTGCAATGCAACTAGCTTGAATATGTGCCAATCCAAAGAGATCCCCCCCCCAAATCCTCCGAGAGATGTGAGAGACAAAACTGACTGAGACCCACTTGCCTATTGCCTCATAAGAACACCATCTGATTCAGAAACCGATGAGAGGTTTCCTACAGATCCTCACGAACCTGAACCTATCCAGAATCCTGCCCAACCAGGTAAATGGCCAACGGAAGCCCAATGCGAGTTGAATATTGCCGAATGGGAAGAATTGATGATCGAACTTGACCTCGTCGATGAATGGGGTGATGTACTAGTAAGCCTTCGAGAAGGGTTCGACCAGGGCATTCCCGAACATAACATAGAAGGTCTTCCTTGGTATACCCCAGCCAACCAGACATCAGCTCTTCTGGTACGAGACAAAATAGAACAAACGATAGAAAGAGAAAAAGCTGAAGGGAAACTTTACGGTCCATTCACGCACCAGGAAGTCCAAGACCACTTCGGCTTCTTTCGATCCAACCCCATGGGGAGTGTGACAAACAATGACGGCACATTCAGGATGATAAACAACCTTTCCTTCCCGCAACACGAAACTGAAATACCTTCAGTAAACTCATTCGTCGATAAAGACGAATTCATGACGATGTGGGACGATTTCAAAATTCTAGCAGACTTCTTGAGGAAATCAGACCGGAAGTGGCAATTAGCACTATTCGACTGGCTGAAAGCGTACAGACAGATTCCCACGCACCCTTCTCAATGGAAATACCTCCTAATCCTCGACTTCTACAACCAACTTTGGGTCGACACAAGGGTGGGTTTCGGTGGTGTGGCAGGCTGTGGCACCTTCGGTCGTGCGGCAGACGCATGGAAAGAAATCGTACAGAAAGCCCTCGGAATCCCAAAAATCTTCAGGTGGGTTGACAATAACCTAATCCTAAGAGAAGTGGGATCGGAATTCAAAATGGAGTCAGTTCTTCATCTAAGCGCCGGAATGGGTGTCAAATCGAACCATACCAAATACTCTGACTTCGCCGATGAGCAAAAATACCTCGGTTTTATATGGAATGGAGTAGAAAAGACGGTCAGATTACCCCAAGACAAACTAGAGATACGAATCTTACAAGTTAAAGCATTACTCACAGGCGAGAAATGGAAGAAAAAGCCCGTAGAAAAACTAGTGGGACAGCTATGCCACCTTACCTACATTATGCCGGACATGAAGTGCTACATGAAAGAACTTTACGGCTGGAAAGGCGCCTGGCGAAACAGTGAAGCACGCAGAGCAATAACACAATCAGTACGAGACGACCTGGAGGAATGGCTAGAAGTACTAACCAACTTCGACCACATGAGGATAATACCCAACCTTGACCCAGAAGACATAAAATGGGTTGGAGACGCATCGACGTCATACGGAATAGGGGTATTGATAGGGTCCAATTGGGCGCGTTTCAAACTGCTCCCAGGATGGGATGAAGTCGACGACAACCAAACCAAGAGAAACATCGCTTGGCTTGAGACGGTCGCAGTACGACTCGGGCTACTAATGGTGCTGAAACTGATGCAATCGAAAGGGAGGTGTTTCGTAGTTTGGACCGATAATACAACTACTGAAGCAGCAATAAGAAACACACGATCCAAAGACCGAGCGGTCAATAACAAATGGAAAAATATCCAAAAACTGTTGACTACGAACCAGTGCTCCATTAAACAAGAACGAGTGACCTCCGGGGATAACGACGCAGACACCCTCTCACGAGGACTCGAAACCGAACTTCACTGGTTCGAAGAGGTTATAATCCAACTCCCCACCGACCTATCGCGCTTCTTGATACAGTCTTGACATGGATCCAACTGACAAGAACGGTCGAGTAAATCTGAAGAAAATTAATAACTTCATCAGCGACCAGTACGGAGTAGTGAATTTAGATGTCGACCCGGTACAGAGATTAATGGTCCTGGGAGGCAGCTGGTCGAAAGATACACTGATCCTATATAATTCGGCAATATCAAAATTCATGACCTTTGGGAAGGAAAACGCAAGAGAGAGACACCAGCTCTTACCAGCTAACGCTACCGACATCCTACACTTCATCCAATGGTCCTCCCCAAAAGTAGACGGCGAACCGAAAACCAGCCACGAAATCAAACCGAGTACAATTGAAACCTACCTGTCCGGGCTGAAAGCCTGGCACCTTCTCCATCACCTCCGATTCCCTGATATCAAACCAAAAGAAATAAACCTAGCCCTGAAAGCAGCGAAGCTACTAGATGCAAAATCAAACACAAAACCCCCAAAACGGCCAGTCAGAATTAAACACTTAGCAAGCTTACTTCGTAACCTGGAAAGGAAAGACGAACCATCCGAACTAGCAATAACGGTCGCGCTAGTAGCCTTCTGGGGCATGGCCCGTCTCGGTGAGTTGACTACACTCAGCGAAGCGAAAGGAATCAGAATTGAGGACGTCAAAATAACTCCAGACGAACAAGTAATGACTATAAACCTAAGAGAAGCAAAAACGGCAAAGCCAGGAGAGATCCAACAACTTACCTTACGTAGAAATCAATCAATACTAGACCCAGTCGGAGCAGTCGAACGAATCCTACGCCAACACATAGCAAACGGTTCATACGTTGATAACCCGCTCTTTACCTACGATATAAAAGATGAGCATGGAGGTACAAGATTAACCAAGAACGGTGTAATGGCATTGCTTCGGAAATTATGGAAAAAGGACGGTTACGAAGGACTTACAGGCCACTCTTTTAGAGTAGGCGGTGCTTCATTCCTATGGAACGAAGGAGTTCCTTTACCACACATCATAAGTAAAGGCAGGTGGAAATCACGTGCTTACGAAAGATACCTTTGGAAATTTGATGAAAAAGAATTAGAAGAGGACAGGACTTGGTTGAAGAAAATGGAAGTTCGGAAGAAATGAATGAGAGGGAGATCACATGCAATCAAACTCTAATTGAGACACAGATGACGTGAACCTTGTTACCCATAGAGTCAGTGAAACCTTGAGAGACATTTGAGCCAACCATTTAAGTTCCCAGATAGAAGACACAAGATTTAAGTTCCCCAAATTGACCAAACTAACAATAGGAATACAGGGAGGGATCTGCAGGCTTTTCAGCCATACAGAAGCCTTGTGGCACCTGCGAGAGTAGGCCTAGTGAGCTCTGGGCTCTTCAATGCCCCAAGGCATGGTAGGCTAGGTCAACGCTCTCCGGTACCATATTCAGGCACTTTACGCAGTTTAGAGCACGGAACAGACCGAAGGTCAGACCCCGCAGGGCCTCAGAAGTAGGCCCCCGAGGAGACCACGGTACCGTTCTGCGCTCGAGACACCCCCCCCACACTATTCTCACCTTGGGAAATCCTAGGTTAGGATAGAATAAGGCTGAGATCCAGATATATGTAGTGACACTTGTAAACTAAATGTATCTGAAACTAAGAGCTTGTTCGCCTAGCACTTACCCATATAGCAGAGATAGATCATTGCTTTATCATACAACATATTCCGGTCTGATAGGGCGGTTCAAGAAGAGAAGTGCAAACACCCTGCACGCAGAGTGGCACTCCAGTATTTTAAGGATGTCCACTCCTTAAAATCTTGTTTTGCATAGTCTCAAAAACCGTAAATTTGAGTTTTAAGTGTTGAGGAATGTCAGGTACAACGTTTGCCAAACCGCCATGGCAATTTTTTTCTTAGATCAATGTCTTTTTTATTATTATTTTTCTTTTGTTCTTCATCATCAATATTTGATCATATTTTTTTAGTGGCCTTGCAGGTGATGAAGAAACAAAGACCTTGGTCCAAAGCGGTGAGAAAAAAACAATGTTTTTTTGGAAAAACAACGGTGCCAACCCAGGAACAAACAAAAAAATACAAACAATGGAAGTGGTTTTTTTTGCTCAAAATGTGCCTGTCGGTTTGAAACACTTTATAAATTTTCAGTTTATTTATGAGATTGCAAGACCGTGAACCACCTTTAGAGGTGGTTCACAACCTTTAAATTTTACTTGAAATTCAAGGGTCCCAAACCAAATATAAAATTTAAAAAAAGTCTGTAAAAGCCCTTCTTGAACCGCCCTAATATTTCTGGACTTTTTACAATATCAGGACTTATTCCAGGACTCTAGGACTTTTAAGACTTTGAGTGATCTGCCCCACCCTTGTGGCTGCAGTACCCTTTACAAGACTTGTTCTATTCTTTTCCTGTCTTCATGTGGTGGACATTGAGTGGATTAGATGTGATTGACATGAAGGGAAATTGGAATTTGTGGTTGGAGCTCACTATTTGGCGACCACTTTCAAAAACCCCGATGCCCGCTTTCTTCGGTACATTACCCGCGGGTATCTTGCGAGCCTCCGCCAAATTTTGCCGCAGCCGCAGCCATTTCCGGGCACTCACTCACTCGAGTGCCCCCTTTCTTCAATCAGGGCTTCGCCATATCACATTCCAAGCAACGCAACGCAGCTCAGCTTGAATCCACCAACATACCTGCTTGGATCAAACATTATCAACAGCAGTTAGATAGGTGGATTGATGAGATTTGATTCCTAAGACTAAGATGTACAGCTATTCTAGAAAGTCGTGTCATGGTGGCACTTTTTTTGGATTTTTTCCCCCAAAATACAGGCCAAATATAGCTGACGCGGAGCGCAGCATAGCTCGAATGGGCAGCCTGAAATGAATAACCGGCTGAATCCGAAGCCATCATGGTACCGATTCGGTGGGTTTGTTTGTCGGTGTGTGCTGCCACTGTTCAATGACCCACCGACTAGCTCAGCAAGACATCAATCCAATCCCAGCCAGCGATATATCGACCCCAAACCAAACATTCGAACACCGTTCGGCTTTCCAATGTTTGGTCGACCATTGATTCACCCACCGCACCTTTCAAGCAAAGCCAACCAATTGCAAACTTCAACCACGAGTAGGCCGAACCCCAGGCACCTATAAAATGACGACGTCCCCGACCTGTTCCCCCTCCAATAAGCCAATTAACAAACCAATCAAAGTCAAAAAACACAGGTTGTTTTCAATCACTACTGGCAGCATGGTCAACAATAAGAAAAATTCTTCCCACATCCCTTCGTTTGTTTTTTTTGCTTTCCTGCCAATGCTTCATTTTTTCCTCTTCAATTGGCCATTTCCACTCACATGGATTTGTTTACAGGTCATCCGATGGCCAAATCGATGTCCTGTCCCGTACTCTACGTAATCGCACCTATTCACAAGCCCTCATGGGTGTTGGTGGACCTCGGTGAGTATGGGATCTACCTCAGCTTTCGGACCCCAAAAAAAAGACGTAACTGAAGTTTCTTTGTTTTGTGTAGGATGGGTGCCCAAACATCCACACCGACATTCCCTAGGAGTGGTTTAGTTTTCCCCAGTTCTGGTGGACCGATTGCTCCATTCACAAACGATGGAAAATCTCCGCTGACGTCGCCCGTCAAGGACCCTTTAAAACGCTCTAATCAACTAAAATCTTTAATCACGCCGTCTTTGATCGCCAAGTGGAACGATGCTCCAGCTCCCCCCTCTGCCTCTAGTTCCCAATCTTCATCGATTTCCGCCATTAACCCCCACATAAACCCTCTAATCTTCGACTCCCCTCAAAAGACCCCATCCACTGTTGCCTCCACCCTGTCAACCGCAACCAACTCCCTCACCAAGACGAGATCCTCGATGAAGAGGGCAGCCACTGTGGCTGACCTGGACTGTGAAGATCCGGATGAAGGCAATGGTGAGAGCTTTTTCTCTCAATAGTTTTCTCTCTATCACACTGCTCTCAATCCCTTTCTCTCTATCAAACTCGGCATCGTAAAATTGACCCGTTGAACTTTGTAGAATCTTTTGATTTTTTTCGCACCGGCTCGGTTGCCAAAGTGGGTCCAATTGGGACTCCCAATGCGGACACTGATTATGAAGATGTTGATACTGACGCACAACCTAGCGACGACAACGATTCGATGCCCGACAGAAATCGTACCTTGCAAGTTTCGTTTAATTTTTGGAACCCTGTAGTTCCACCCGAACCTGAACCTTCTAACAGTAAGAAACGCAAGAAGTCTGGCGCCTCCCGACCTAGCCGGTTCAAGTCCACAGTTCCCAAATACGAGAATTTCAGCCCGAAGATCGCCAATAAACTCGTCATTACTCATGAAAACATTCCCTTTGTCGTTTTCAAGCTCAAATTATTTCAAACCTGCGCCAAGAATTGTCCCTGGGTGTCTGACTCTCTTAAATCAGCGTGGTGTGACCCTGACCAGACTCTCAAAATTCAAGGGTTTATCCACGGTTCTCGTCAACATAAGGCTGTCAAAATGGCCATTGAAGATGAAGATTCTTGCAGCGAATTCTTGGCCCTTGCGTATTCGGTTCCTAGCAGCACGGTCATGGGGTGCAAGATCTTACACAAGAATCCCAAGCTTACTGCAAACGCCAATCAAAACTTCCAAAAGAACGCAGCTAAGGCTCCTTCTTCAGATGCGGATCCTCACCCTGAATCGGACGCCTCGGTAGGTGTAAGTAACCAGAATCCTATTTTCCTTCTTGTAGTCAAGCTAACGGGACTAATTTTCTCAATTAGTCCCGCATCTTGAACCTCGGCGAACGTTACAATGAAAAGTTGTTCACACGGTTTTCAAAGGACTTCAAAGCTGGAGAAAACATCGGACGCCTTATCAATCCAAAAGATCATGACCTTTGTATGATTCTCAACACTGCGCGCATCCGGACATGGGCGAATGATTGGGTAAGTGAATGTCTTTCTTATCTTTTTCATGTTATTTTATCATTCATAAGTCTTTACTCATCCTGCTCCATCCACTTAACAGGCTGACGAGGTACCTGGGGTCGATGAAGTCAACCCTCAGACGAAGCGACCGGAATTCCGTTGGTTTCCTGTGGCTGACTACGAGAAGGAAAAGAACCTTCTTCTCGGTTTATCAGGACCACCTCAGCCCGGTACCAGTTCTGGAACCGTCGTCCACCACAACTATTACGGTCAACCATTTCCTTCAGCTGCTTACCCCCCCTCTCAACCCAATCAGCCAGTCCCCGCGCCGGCAACGTTCCACCCTCCACCACCTCCTCTCCAAGACCCACCTGAGGCCCTTCGATTGTCCCCGCCTCCAGGGAACCCGCACTTTGAAGAGTTCCTCATCTTCGCGGGCATAGACGCCAACAAGAAGAAGACTCGCGACATTTTGTCTGATCAAGGTATTGACTCGTTTAATAGACTTTTGGACCGCCAAACTTACAATTTTGATAGCTTTCGAAGTATGGGGATCGCCTTTGCTCACGCCGATGACCTTCACAAGGCTGTTCCGAAATTTAACCATTATCTCAAATCCCGATGAGATACCACTTGATATCCTTTTCGCCACTCGATCATATTTTTAAAGTTTCATTTTCAATGTTTGTTAACGCTATCCAAAAAACAATGTTCCCCCTAAAAAGATGATATGTTTCTGGCGTCTGGTTTCTCTGTTTTGATATCTACTTAAATTTCTTGTTTATTTATTTATTGGTTGTGTGGTTTGATGTTCAAGTCAATCTTTGTGATCGCTACCAATTGTTTGAGCATTTTGATGTCCAAAGTAATCATGATCCCATCTCGGTTATAAAATTGAAAGCCCTCAACACACGTGCCTCTTGACCATGTCCCCTTGTGAGTTTCTTGGCCGACTTAATGCCTCTGCCCAAAACCTTTGTGTTCATATCTCAGCGCGTTATAGAGAAGGATTTTTTTTTCCCTAAGTCTTTTGCAGCATATCAAAAATATCTTTGGTTCTTTATTTCTCATGTCTTTGGGAATGGAATTTTTTTTTGTACAATTTTGTTCACTTGCCACTTTACAAAGATCTTTTTGGGTTTGGAAAAGCCTATATACGATAGTTAATCATCTCATTATTGAGGCAATAAATTTTGTCACTGGGGTTTGCTCACTGTAAGTCTTTTCGATCGGATCATAATTCTTCATATTCAACATGAAAGGCGAAATAAACAAAGCAAAAGAGTTTGGCTACAAGCAATTTCATGATAATCAAAGATCAACCCCTAAATCCAATAGCCACATACGGCATATAACTTGTGCATGAGGGCACCTGTGAACAAGTTCCAAGTAACATCCATGATGACATCCTCTTTATCTTCAGCCGCGGTTTGGATGAGGATTTGGGTGCGTCGAAAGTAGGATTTGAGCACGCTGAAAGCCTTCTCGATCGGATTGAAATCTGGCGAGTAAGGTGGGAGGTACAAAATTCGGATTCCTCTTTCTGCCGCAAGTTCGTCAATACGGCCCCCGTGGTGGATCCTTGCATTGTCCATCACTAAGACAGAGTTGGCCTCGGGGTATGAATTCATCAACGGAAACTATGCGGTTGACCAGTCAATAAATATAAGCGAGATGAGGGAAAATCGAACTCAAAGTAAGCTTACCAAACGGTGTTTGAGGAACCCCTCGAAATCTCTACGCAGGTAGCTTCCTTCTTGGCAGTCCAGAGCTAATACGCCGCCTTTGAAAATCGCCGGTAGGAGTGAGAACCGTTTGCCCCCACGACTCCAAGGGATTCGGGTGGTCCGTTCCCCTCGTCTAGCGCGTCCAAACTGCCTGCCGAGATGTCTCTCCTGAACTGAGCACTCGTCTGGATGGATCATGTTCAAAGTCAGCTATGCGTTCACAATATAAACCCCAATTTAAAATAAGTGAAAAAAACATTGACCTAGGAAAACAAGCATGTTGGGGTTCAAAGCTCCTACTGCATGTAGATACCTCGCTCTCTTGGAAGGACTCTGGTTAGGGTGCACGGTTCGAGCTTTCTTGACGGTGAGGTGGAGTCGATCCTTCAGATCACTCGCAATTGTTTGTAACGAGACCCATTCGCCGGTGCGTCGATAAACTGCATGGCGATACTTGTCCAAGTACAAAGCAGGATTGCCGGCTAGTAACTCCAACATAAAATCTCTATCTTTGTCATTCAAAGCGGTTTTTCTTCCGATGCGCTCGTAATCTTCAGGATTACGAATTACTGCATAAGTACGGCGGTACAAGGAGTGCCAACGAGAGATTGTTCGCCGGCTGACAGGGGAGATCAAGAGACGTCGGACTTGATCGATCGTTTTCCCTGCGCGGAGGTGCTGCACCGCCAGCACCTTGATACTAACTTCATATGGACCACGTTGTGGGCCTCGCATTGCTAGAAGAGGGATGTGGAAGAGTCAGAACAAAGGTTTGAGTTTGATGGATTAAAAGGAAGAAGAACAAACTGTTGGACAGGTGGTGTGACGAATGGTCTGGGCGAAAATTTTTCCATGCGGCAGAATTTTTTTTTTGATGGGTTGATGGGGGCCGATGCCTGGTCTGTGACGGGGTTTGGTGCTGACGGGTTGTTCAGCCCGCTGCGCTGCGCATCGCCTGTACGCGCCTGTGGCGCCGGGGGAAAAAAGCTTCGAAAAGTGTCACCATGACACGACTTTCTAGAATAGCTGTAATAGGATTCTTTTGGAGTTTATACTCGATGTCTCTTGTTTCTTGCTCAAGGGGTTCATTCTCAACTTGTAGTGTTTGCTTGTTTTATCACGATCGGTTGTTTTGTTTTCTCTCTGTTCTCTCTGTTTGTTTTGTTTTGAGACAATGAGTCAAGACAGATATATGATTCCATTGTGTCTTGCTTGCTTTGGTTTTGAAATCATAGAGAAGGTCTCTATTATTCTGATCTACAACAGTCTACGGTCATGTCAGTATAGATGAGTTCATTGGTTCATCATAAGTTGAGTTCATCAGTTCAGCACAAGTGAATTGACATCGAAAATGTAAGAATTTGAGTCGCCCGGTTCATTTTGTTGAGTTGCCCGGTTGCAAATTGAACCGGGCGATGTTTTACTTAAATCGGGCGACAAATTTGCAGCTATCCGAAATTCGGGCGTCGGGTTTTTTAAACCGGTTGTCAAATAGTGAGCTCCTTTGTGGTTTATATGGAGAGAATGTTGGGTATAGACAAATGGTGTAAATATATTTGTTTTGAAAGGGGTTTATGATCTTTCGTTTAATTGTTGCAAGCTTACCCAATGGGTTGGTATCCTTGTCATTGTTATATGCTCCACCATTGTTTCATTCATCATCAGTATATTGTTCTTTTGGTTTGCATATACAAACTTTTGCAGCACTCTTGTTTGATGAGTTGTTGTACTACCTTCTCTTTCCCTTTTTTGACCCCTACCTCTACCTCTATTAACTTTCTGTCTTTTTCTTCTGGCACTTCCATTTTTGTTGGATCTTCCCTTTTCATGATTTGATAAAATGTGATCTATGTCTTTGTTGAGATTTTCAGTACTTCCACTGCCAGCATTAAAGAGGTTCCCAGATGGGAATATGGGTCCTAGTGATCAGATTTTTTGAAACTGAATTCATATTTCTTTTTGGATGTGTTTTTTATGGCTGAGGTGGCTAGGTATTCAGCCTAGTCTCACCCATTTATTGGTTTAGCCCAGGTGGAATATCTAGGGATGTTAGATTGGGACGGGCTTTTTTCTGTGTTAGCGCTATTGTATTGTCATGTTGCCTTCCTGAAACATGTTTTGTATAAAGAGTTCTATTTTCTTCCTAAACTTTGGTTGTTTCTCTAATGTCACAAATCACAATTGTTTTGGTAGGCATCTCACTAATGCTAGTTCATCTAGGTAGATCTTTATTGCCTCTTTATGCAATTGTCACAAATCACATTTGTTTTGGTAGGCATTTCACTAACACTAGTTCATCTAGC